CAATATTAATTTGAAATCATTTTTTCGATTTTTTATTTACCCACAACAGCAACAATTTTTCCCTCATTAATTTGAGGTAGTTTGTAGTGGGTAAATATAAAAAAACGAAAAAATGATTTCAAATTAATATTGCATATTAATCCACTATTAACTAACTACCAATGTCATAGGATTTCATATATTTAACTGTCATTTGGATTTAAATATTAAAGTGTTTGATCTCTTTGTGGGTATTTATCCCAAACATAGGTACTTTAGCCGTAGGTGCCAATTAATATGCCGCACATACATTAATAATATAAAAAACAGCTTTTCACAGCACTCAACGTTTAATAGTATCACTGCATTTTTATGCGGACTAACTTAATAATAAATAATTACATGGAGTTTGTCAGAATGCATGTAAAACTTTTAGGTGACGACTTCGTGTGGGTCGAAGGCAACACAAGCAGCAGTAGAAGACCAAATTGTAGTCCCAGTTATAATTCCCGATAATTTATTTAAACGGGCTGTATTACTGGTTTTCTGATGATGGACTTAAATTTTTTAACAACCGGTTCCGTGATGATTACGGACAAACGACCAACAAAAGTTCGAGAACATTACAGTTATAAAACTATACCGCGCAAATGAAATAAAATTATCACTACGCAAATTTGCTGGCGATCCCAATTTCAAATATCCATCACATCAATAATAATTAATCAATGAGATGAAATATTCTCTCATAAACTATATTTCCTGTCAAATTGATGAAATTAACCTCATAAAATAAGCACATTTCCATAATGTTAAAATAAAAAAAGAGCATCAACCAACAATCGAATCAGTACCACACTGGACCACCATGAACTTTTCGTTCTCTTTGGTTACGTGCCTATCATATAGGTTAGCTACGCTCTGGATTCAGCTCGATATCCTCCCTCATGGGCCTGATTGAACTTTTTTAAATTCCATCAAATGTAGCAAAACTAGATGGCGTTTACCACGGTATTTATAGCATTTCATCAACCAACACAAATTACAATCAACCTTCAAATAAAAATCTAATGTTCAAAGGAATTACTTAGGGTAGTAGAACATAATTTACATAGACAAACCAAATTTGAACTGAAATACTGCGTTTAAGATCTTGATTTATTTGTAACCCCAAAGACAATAATCTAAAGACGTCAAATCATACAATTATGGTGACCAATTACCTAGAATTTTTGGAAAATTATTCCACCACCAAACTTTATTGTAATATCTTAACGAAATTAGAGTTTTCATTCACATTCAATTCAACCAGAGGGTATTCACAGTGAATGCAGTAACTTTTTGTGGTTGATCGTGAATAACATGCAGATTTTTTAAAACCACGTAAAATGACATATTCCATATTCCAAACACTAAAGGGCTTTTTTAAAGAGCCATCATTTTCGTAATAAGTTTGGATAACTGAAATGTGGCGTTGAGTCGTTAGCAAATCCATAACTATTAACTCTATTAACAGCATACGTACTGTACTATTGACTTTTCATAAATAAATAAAAATAGAAGAAAATAAGTACAAAACATCGCAAAAATGGNGTCCCATTGTTCCTATTAAATAAGATTTAAAAAACATTCTAGAGTTATCGTTATCAACCCGACTGTATTACCAATGGCGTAGAGTAGTCATCTACTTAAGGGATACAATTAAATAATTAAGTATGACCAGCAGTATTTGTAACTTTTTCTAGACAAGAATTTATTTGTAATTGTACTGAATAATGCATCTAACAGTTTATTTTAATTTTATTATTTATTTAACTATCAACCACAATAACATTGAAATAAGCATACCTGCTTACAGTGAAAACATATTATAGTAAGACAGTTACATATTTTTAGTGTGAGAGTTTACAGTTTATCACAAAATATACGCATACAGTTAAAACGAGTGACACAGTAATGCAAATGGAATTGATCTAAAAAGCATCATCACTAATAACTAAATGATAGAACACGTAACGGTCCACTGCGCGATGAGCGTCTGCGCATCACGTTCGCCATTTTAAGTTGTCTAGCACAACCTCCGTTCAAATCGGATGCGTATTGCCTTACAGCACATCAGACCTTGTTACGTGAAAAAAAAAATGTGAATCTTTAATTTCTAAACGCAATAAAATATTCTTCTGTCTTATTCTTAGGTTTTTTGTCGCTTATCTGCTTTCGTAGAGCAAGATTTGCATGTGCTTTGTGGCGATCAAACAATATTTCTGCTGACTTGTGTTTTATACTGTGAATCTTCTTTTTATTTTTTGGATACACTTCTTGCACAGGAGCTTCAATCATTTTAAATATATAATAAACACATTCTATAATACTGACAACTGATCCACCAAGACATAAGCCAAATATTCCACCAATTGACGCTAAAATTAAATCTCGGTTCCCAATGATATACATACTAAAAAAGTTAAGTTCAATACCTAAAAGGGAATCCCACGTCAAATATACCGTTCTTTCCAACTTAGTACATTCTATATTTTTAAAATATATATAGTATACCGTACCTTTTACACTTTTTTTTGAGAAATAGGTAATCATTTATTAACGAATTATCCCTTATTTTTTTTTTGTTCACCTTGCTTTCAATTTTATAGAGCTAATAGACAAAAAGTTACATAATAAACATTTTTAAATGATATACCTTGGTACATGATACTCAGCCCGTGTTTTCGAGACCGACTTTTCTCTGCAACTAATTTTCTCGTTATTTTTAAATAATTATTTAAAGTTTTTACATGTTGTGCATCATTTTGTTTACGAAAAATGCAATAAAACAGTAAGAAACCCGATTTTCCAATGAATGTTATATAGACGCCTATGGAACATGCAGATCCATGTTTGGTCATGGGCGTCGGGAAATTCGACGCCACGTTCTCTCTCTCCATTCCACCCACGAAAATACCATCTTCTATCTTTCGTACTGAACGTTGCTTGCAAGCGTGGTTGCCGCTTGAACGCAACAGACTAGCAGCTCCCGACAAAATTAAATTTAAAATTGACCGCATACTTCGGCATTTTTAAGCTCGGCTATATTTTACCGAGTTGTTGTTGCAATAAAAATCGCAAATTCTTCTTTGCTCATAATAAAATTTAGGAGTTGACTGTTGCCAAATTTTGATATTTCAGGCTAATATTAGATGCAAAAATTAGGGCAGCGATACGGCACGTCTGGATATTGGGTCACTCTTAAATAGTTACTCGCATAAATTTAGTAACGATAGACTTGTAAAAATTAATTAAAAATTTTAGAATAAATTACATTGCTTATTATATCACACACCTACGGCAGCAGCGCACCTATATGTATACCAATAATAATTGATATTCTCAAAATGAAAGCCGGCATCAATATAAAATAGATTTATAAAAGCCTGGCTAGTCTTACCTAATTTCAATAAAATTAATTCAACGTTTACTCTACAATCTATATATCTATATTGAAAGCTCTTCTTTTCTAAGAAATTCAAAATTGGTCACCAAATAGGTATTTCATGGTGAGGTTATGTAGAAAACAAACTTCACACTTACATTTAACAAATAGTACAAATTTAAATTTACGCCTTTGGACTCAGTTTTGATAAATTTTAATTCATAAAATTTTAAAGTTCTGCAGTCAACGTCTACCTTTTATTTTATCTTTATGAACCGTACCTAGTTTCGTTAGTATCTACATTTACAGATGAACTCTCTACAAGAAATAGAGTTTTTAAAAAAGTATTCGTTTGTTTTGATGTTTGTAATGTGATGTTCAATCGTGACAGCTGTCTCTACGTAGCAGGTGTGAAATTTAAGGGTTGTTTTCCTACCTTTTTTTGTTGTTTTTCCCAAGCCGGATCGAGAAGTCCTTCTCGTTCCCATTCTTCCTCCTGTTCCATGTATCCGTCACCATAATGGTCAATGTTATTATACCCGTCCATAGCTATCATTTTGAGAATGCACTGTTGCTCAAGGATTCGTTATTTTTGTTCGTTCGTGAATGGAATTTCAGCGTCGTGCACTGGCACACGACTATACGCGCACCTTTCCCCGTCAGCCCGAGCCCAACTGGCGAGTGTTGCTTACACTAATCATCGCTTGGCCGTGAAACACCAAAATATTATTATGCGCAGACTCGAACTATCTTTTTAAAACATCAAAACAACCAATAGAAAATACAGCTAACATACATAGACGCACATTTTGAAATTATTTCTTTAATGTTGTTATAAAATACTTTCATTTCAATAAATAACCACCCAATAAACAACCTTATAAATAATTTGATACCTACTATTTACTAACGGCCCTGAAAAATTCTAGCTATTTCGTAACTGGTAGAATTTTTGTTTATAAGAACGAATATAATTTTAGGTCTTTAAAAAGCAAATTAAAATTAAATATTTAAGCATGGACCCTTTATATAAAGCATACGTCTTTAAAGACAACTGTAAATGAAGAAGTAGAAACCCTTGCTAACCACTATATTTTTTTATTGTTACTGCTACTTCTTTTTTATAGTTCACATCACAATGGCCTTATATACTTGCGTTACATTTTTCAGGATAAAATATACCAAAACCCATATAAAAAAGAAAAATTAAGTGAGGTCCCACCGAGATTTGAACNTTTGTTATAATTTGTTGTTACACTTTCGGATCGTTTGTAAAAAATCCCATGAGCTCGACAAATAAATCACTGTTGCCAATTAATGCAATTTAACCAATAAAGAATTGATGAACCGCATTAAGAATGTCCTTGGAAGTACAATCTGGCGTCATGCAAAATTAATATTTTAAGTTAACGAAAACGTAAAGCTTACAACAAACAACTTTTTGTTCAAAAGGGAAATTAACTTTTTTTATTTAGTTTAGGGGTAGTATCTATTAATTAACATTATCTAAAAGAAATAAAAAAGTCCACAGTTGTACAACATTCCAATTCCACTAGTGACGAAAAGATAGTATATGGATATTTAACGATAAGATATTTTTAGAAATTGTAAGACTATAATTTAAATGAACTAATTAAATGCATCCATATAAAATTTGATGCTACATTGATATGCGGTCAACCGACGTCTGCTTCAATATGCGGTCTACCGTCATGCGCCTACTTTATATACTCCTTTCCCATATTCCTTTTAACAAAAGAAAGAACATGGTCATGACAACACTTACTTTGAATTCTCGAACATTTATTGTTTTTGAGAATAAATTATTCCATTCACTAAACTGCACAATTTCCTAAGGTAGACGGCATATTAGCGTACAGAAAAGTACAGGTAGATCACACGCCAGAGGTAGACCGCATATTAGAGTACAGGTAAGTACAGGTAGATCGCACACCAGAATTAAACCAGATATTAGCGTACAGATAAGTACATGTAGATCACACGATAATGGTAGACCGCACATTAGCGTACAGGTAAATCACACGCCAGAGGTAGACCGCTTATTAACAGGTAAACCACGTATTGAGAGGTAGACCGCATACTAATTTTAAAGTAGTACCTAAAATTTTGTATGGCAAAAAAACTACTGTCAAATGTTATGCAGTTTTATTTAGATAGGTAGAAACACCGTCAAGAATACAAATTAGATCCACATATAATAAATATATTATTACTATACTGACTATTCTTTTGTCTTCTAAAAAAACCCTTCGTATAGTTACCTAATTAATTTTTTATTCTCTGCACATGTGGTTTCGTCGACTTCAAAGAGATTTCAATTAACAACAACCACATGTGCAGCTTTTTAATATTACTTAACCTGCTGTAAGCCCCCAGGACTGTTGTAGTGTCAAGTAACTAAACAAAAGCAGTATTCACAATCTTTCTTCCCTTTAGAAACTACGCTATAAATAGTTTGTTTACAAAAAAAAAAAATAAGACAACGATAGCAGATAAAACAGTAGAAAAACCGTGCATGGGGGATTTCCGAAAATGAATTGACATACATATAGGTAAATAATTATTAGATACTCATGAATGTATGATGAAAACTAATGACACAAAACAAGTTAAACAATATCATACTTAATATGTGGTCTCGTTAACATGTAAATTAAAACCGTAGTGAAGGACGTTCTTAGCATCTACTTCGTAAGCATTCAGTACACGTCATATTGATGTAAGTGGAATAATAATTGGTAATTGTAAAATAGATAATAACACAATAGGCTCATTTGTTCATAAAAAAAATCGCGTATTTATTAAACATAGGGCAAGTTTTGAGGGGGTTTTTCCAATAATACCTTGTCCTTTAATTTTTTTTTTAACTTGGGTTAGAATTGTGGTTGATCGACTTATTAGACCACACTATAAACAACTGTCATTTGCAATATTAATTTCAAATCCCCGCCGGGAATCGAACCCCGGACCTTTGGCATTACGCACCAATGTTTTACCACTAAACTACGAGAGGTGACAACAGCAACCACGACCAACCGACCTACAAGGTTAACGATCCGTCGATTTTTTATTAACTTAATTATATATACCATAAATATATGAAATCCTATGACATTGTTAGTTACTTAATAGTGGATTAATATACAATATTAATTTGAAATCATTTTTTCGATTTTTTATTTACCCACAACAGCAACAATTTTTCCCTCATTAATTTGAGGTAGTTTGTAGTGGGTAAATATAAAAAAACGAAAAAATGATTTCAAATTAATATTGCATATTAATCCACTATTAACTAACTACCAATGTCATAGGATTTCATATATTTAACTGTCATTTGGATTTAAATATTAAAGTGTTTGATCTCTTTGTGGGTATTTATCCCAAACATAGGTACTTTAGCCGTAGGTGCCAATTAATATGCCGCACATACATTAATAATATAAAAAACAGCTTTTCACAGCACTCAACGTTTAATAGTATCACTGCATTTTTATGCGGACTAACTTAATAATAAATAATTACATGGAGTTTGTCAGAATGCATGTAAAACTTTTAGGTGACGACTTCGTGTGGGTCGAAGGCAACACAAGCAGCAGTAGAAGACCAAATTGTAGTCCCAGTTATAATTCCCGATAATTTATTTAAACGGGCTGTATTACTGGTTTTCTGATGATGGACTTAAATTTTTTAACAACCGGTTCCGTGATGATTACGGACAAACGACCAACAAAAGTTCGAGAACATTACAGTTATAAAACTATACCGCGCAAATGAAATAAAATTATCACTACGCAAATTTGCTGGCGATCCCAATTTCAAATATCCATCACATCAATAATAATTAATCAATGAGATGAAATATTCTCTCATAAACTATATTTCCTGTCAAATTGATGAAATTAACCTCATAAAATAAGCACATTTCCATAATGTTAAAATAAAAAAAGAGCATCAACCAACAATCGAATCAGTACCACACTGGACCACCATGAACTTTTCGTTCTCTTTGGTTACGTGCCTATCATATAGGTTAGCTACGCTCTGGATTCAGCTCGATATCCTCCCTCATGGGCCTGATTGAACTTTTTTAAATTCCATCAAATGTAGCAAAACTAGATGGCGTTTACCACGGTATTTATAGCATTTCATCAACCAACACAAATTACAATCAACCTTCAAATAAAAATCTAATGTTCAAAGGAATTACTTAGGGTAGTAGAACATAATTTACATAGACAAACCAAATTTGAACTGAAATACTGCGTTTAAGATCTTGATTTATTTGTAACCCCAAAGACAATAATCTAAAGACGTCAAATCATACAATTATGGTGACCAATTACCTAGAATTTTTGGAAAATTATTCCACCACCAAACTTTATTGTAATATCTTAACGAAATTAGAGTTTTCATTCACATTCAATTCAACCAGAGGGTATTCACAGTGAATGCAGTAACTTTTTGTGGTTGATCGTGAATAACATGCAGATTTTTTAAAACCACGTAAAATGACATATTCCATATTCCAAACACTAAAGGGCTTTTTTAAAGAGCCATCATTTTCGTAATAAGTTTGGATAACTGAAATGTGGCGTTGAGTCGTTAGCAAATCCATAACTATTAACTCTATTAACAGCATACGTACTGTACTATTGACTTTTCATAAATAAATAAAAATAGAAGAAAATAAGTACAAAACATCGCAAAAATGGCTTGCCCCAGGTACTACATTTTAGTAGTATAAAAATCTAGAAGAAAAGCTACCTCAATATCGGCCTTTCGTAAATGCGTAAGTACTGTTCTGAACCGGATCTCTATATGGACTTTTTGGGCTGCACCCCAGACTCCAATTATAGATAAAAAAAGACCCCCGGCTCCCATTGGAGACAATAAATAATACTGAGAATTTAGAAGAAAAAATAATAACCCAAATTTCTAAATGTTTTATAATTTATATAACAGAACTACAAACAATTGCACTAATTTTCTATCCTATCATTAAAGAAAATAGTTTTTTGACAAAATAGAAATTAGTTTGATTAATCAAGTAATACCCCAAGTTGTGTTAACCCAGGGTCCCACACATTCATGGCCCTCCCCTAGTATCATTCATAATTTCTTAGAAAATACTGCATTAATAAATTCATTTATACATACACAATATGGCAGTTATGCTTATAAAATTCAGCACAATAGAAATAACCATAAATTTCCAATATTGATACGTAAGAATTTTAAGTATTTGCAATAAGTATCTTGACTCTGTCTACTGCTACTTCGTTTTACAGCTGTTATATTTTTTCGTTATAAACACGAGAAACCGCTACTTTTGCGAATTAAATATTATAAGTACTTATCGTGATAATAACGCCTATGTATCCACATGGGCTATATACTGGCAGTATAGTGTGTATTTATTAAGGATTCTTTAGTAGTCTCCCTAATCATCTACAAACATCTGGTATTGTAGCAAAAATTAATCCTAACTGTTACTTACTGAATGTAGGTACCAAAACTCATGTCAGATAAAAAAGTAATTCTTACTAATTTATCCATAAAAGGAAAGTGAATAATAACGGCAGATTTATAACTAGATATGTACTTAAATCTTTATAAAAAACAAAACATCACTAGGTACTAGTAGGAATAAAAGTATCGAAAAAGTATTTAAATATTATATTAAACAATCAGGTTTGTTGTACTGCAATTTTTTTATAAAGAATATAGTATACCGTACCTTTTACACTTTTTTTTGAGAAATAGGTAATCATTTATTAACGAATTATCCCTTATTTTTTTTTTGTTCACCTTGCTTTCAATTTTATAGAGCTAATAGACAAAAAGTTACATAATAAACATTTTTAAATGATATACCTTGGTACATGATACTCAGCCCGTGTTTTCGAGACCGACTTTTCTCTGCAACTAATTTTCTCGTTATTTTTAAATAATTATTTAAAGTTTTTACATGTTGTGCATCATTTTGTTTACGAAAAATGCAATAAAACAGTAAGAAACCCGATTTTCCAATGAATGTTATATAGACGCCTATGGAACATGCAGATCCATGTTTGGTCATGGGCGTCGGGAAATTCGACGCCACGTTCTCTCTCTCCATTCCACCCACGAAAATACCATCTTCTATCTTTCGTACTGAACGTTGCTTGCAAGCGTGGTTGCCGCTTGAACGCAACAGACTAGCAGCTCCCGACAAAATTAAATTTAAAATTGACCGCATACTTCGGCATTTTTAAGCTCGGCTATATTTTACCGAGTTGTTGTTGCAATAAAAATCGCAAATTCTTCTTTGCTCATAATAAAATTTAGGAGTTGACTGTTGCNGGAAGAAATGAGATGGTAAAACTGCCACCTGCAAACACAGTACAACCTTACTTACTACAATTTACCAATTGTTACTGTTTCTTATATTTTGTTATATTATTATACATATGCGTTGGGCTCAAAGAACGAAAATTTGTGTTATAACTTATAAAAACGCCCATAACTCGTTGTGATAAACACAAAGGGGCCATTAGTGTCATGGCAATGAAAAGTTCTGAGCCATAGTTGAGCATATACCATAACTAAACGAATAATCTCAGTCATAATCACAAGGATCCTATTATTTTAATAACGCAATCTTTATCTTACCCAAAAACTTTTGATTGTATTTGATAATGACAAATACGTGCAGTTGTTTTCAATTTTAGCAGAAGAAAGGGTTATAAGGACATTTTCTATCTGGTGCTTGCAGTTTTAACATTATTATTTTAAGACAAAAGAATATATTAATACTAAAAAATTTCAGGACTTGTTAAACCCATATTAAAAATCACTTTTTGTTGTATTCTATCATGGTTTCTAATTAGCTGACGTTCTAAACACGATATGGGTTTTCTTCATAGGATGATATGGTCTTTTTTCGTTTGCCACAACGCATTATAGCCATTTTTAAAAGTTCCTTAATACGAATTTCGCGATGTGAATGTTTCTCAGTGACCATAACGTTCTGTGGGTTTTCTCGTTTTCGTTCTTTTAAAAGAACGTTTATTAAGTTCATGTTTTATGGATGAACAATGGATTTAAAAATAAAGTAAAGAACAGCTTTCGATTATTCGTATTAAATAACAATTTTTCAATTTAAATTTAAATCCATTAATTCACCCGCAAAAACAGGAACTTTCTATTAGTTTACATATTTTGTAATGGGACTAAACATTTAAAAGATCTTACACAAAATCCAATTACAGATTTAAGAGGGGATAAATATTCTTCTTCTTCTGCATCTAATATAAGACGTAACCCGAAAGCTGGACCAGCACCCATGGCATATTCGTGAACTTTTGACGAAACAGTCGTGCTAATGAGATTAAGACAGTTGTAAAAATTACTAACCCTTTTGTAAAAAATAAAACAAAACACCACTTACTCCCCCTCTTCATCTTGAAAACCTTTTTGATTAAAACCGCAACAATACCCATAAGTAGTCCTTACGACCTTGAAAAGATTCAAACACGGTACTTCCTTGGTTTTCCAATAGCATTTTTTAAACATTTTATCGCAAGGTGGTGCCAACTAAATTATGAAAATGATAAAGTGGGATATTGGAAAAGAATTTTCAATCGAACCTGTTTCATAAGAGTATCCATATTGTAGCCAAATCTATCTAAAGTTTTGTATACGCCACTGTAATTTACCATTTCTACTACATCATCAAGATTTATTAACGAAGACAAGTTCATAAAGAAATCATTCAGTATAGAGTTAGAAATTCCATTAAATTTACTGAAAGTATTTAATACGTATTTTAATATCCGTCAAAAACTAACTTTAACCAATAGAGTGATCAGACACATTATAACAAATATTTCAAATAAAGCATAATTATCTAATTAATTTATGTAAGTTGTATTGGAAATTTTGAAAAAATAAAGACTCACAATGATTTCACTATTTTTTCGACATTGCTTTTGTAAACCAAATTATTGTTGCAAATAATAACACTTGGAAACGGTACTTCCCAGACAGGATGCGCAGTAGACGTTAAACTAGTGGTTACAATATTATTTTCATATCTTTGCAATTGTAACCAAATAAGGTACACGCAAAATATTATTGATAAACCACAAATAAATGAAAAGCATATCCTTTTTAGATAAGAGGATCCTTCGTCTATAATATGATGAAATCCGTGCAGACTTGTATCTGCGCCATAATGCTTCAATTTTTCAAGAAAAACTGTTAACCACGATTTTTCAATTTTACCTTAAAAATATAATTACAAGAATAACAATAAATTGTCGATACTAGTTATAGTACTTCCCTTCAACAAATTTTGTAAAATTGTAAAATTACGATCTTTCTCTCTCCATTTTGTCTTTATTAAATCTTTTTTTTATATCAAAGTATCAATGAATCTATTTTCTTGTTTATTTTCATTTTAAGAAACTACTGTTTAACACTCACCTGCACGTTTTCCTTGATTTCTATGATAACCATCCATAGCTGAAAAATATCGTTTTCTAAACCTAAAGTTCTTTATAAAGCAAAATAAAAGACATATACAATTCTACAATCATTAATCAAACAAACAAATCAAAAACAAACTTTTTAATTAAATCGTTTCTCACAATATCATGTACTGTATTAATGTCTAGTACACTTAATTACTTAATCAATATTCAAAGGTGTCATTATCATCAAAATTGAAAATTAGTTAGTAGTTTGTTCTAATGTATCAGTATCCATTACGCTTTCTTCTGGAACTAATTGAATCAAATTTCTTGACTCAAACCTATGTCTCACTAAAAAGAAAAATTAAATAACCATTAATAATAATTAGAAATAACGCGTGGTCGATAATTCGACCAATGTATTTTACAATTCTATCTAACACAAAAAATACTAAAGAAACATACCTGAAGTTTTGATATTCATGTAATAATATTTAATATATTTATTTTTATTTAGGAACTGTTGGCTGAA